ATACATATATTCGTTTATATTATAGTCTATCGATATCAACATATAACATCATATTATTTCATAATATTATAGTTAAATTGCGATACCACATCTACTCTGAATTATATCTATACGTAATTTGCCTATTGCGTGTATGTACCAGGCGACGGCGTCGGGTAATATTGTTCTCTATATATTTTCTTTTATACCATATTCGATATACCACCGTCGGGTCTGTGTCCGTGTTATTGTGAAAGTGAAATAGTGTCGTTGTAGTATGAATAAAATAAAGAATGGCGTTAATAATTATTTTATTTACTTTTTTTATTTTCTTAAAACTTATTAATCGATCTTCGCTCCTGAACAATATATTTTAGAGGTGTGTATGCAATATTGACAGCCATTTATTTTGGCATAATATAAATGCACAATGCATAACATAGTTTACTTAATTTTTGGTTAGTATAATTTAATGTACATAATTTAAGAATACTTTACATTTTAAACGTTTAATGTATTGTAATGCATATTATAAATAAAATATGAAATACATATGGTTCATATTATACACAATGTTGAATTTATTTGGTTCAAAATAAAAACGTCTAGACTAAAGAATAAACTATTGTAATATTATTTTATTTTTTTATGTATATTTTCTCAGTTTTTAGAGTATTTTTTCCAATTTGTTCATAAAATGAACAATCTTTGTTGCAATAAACAAGAAATTTCCAGCAAACTGTCGACGGTACAAATAATAAATTATACAGCACAACTAACAAGTTATCGTCGATAATACACTATTGCATATGTTAGGTATTTCATTATAAAATTTTAATTATCATAACTCTTATCATTATATCGATTATTATTATATTTTATTATATCTATTATTATTAAATCAAATTACTTTGAAATGATTATCAGTATGTGTTCGACTGTCAATCGTTAAGTACACAAATAAAAGGTAACAATTAAAATCAAGTCTATATTATTAAAGGTGAGATGTTTTACATCGGGACTTTTTTTTCCGTGATTCAATATGAAATACACAGCACGAAATTTAACATATAATATACTAGATACATATTATAATTATTGAACTTTTTTTTTAAGTGTATTATTTTAAATATTGTTGTACTTACATATTATGTACAGGAATTTTTTTTTAAACATATTATTATTTTTTTTTTGACGATATAATTAAATATTTTTATAAATGTATACCGGACTTCTTCACCTCTGACTTTTTACCCTAGACTTAGGCCAAGGCATAGACACTGTGTGTAATGGCAAAATCTGGTGACTGTGGCCTTGAACACGGTCTCTAGGAGAGCGTGGCATGCGTTATCACTTAAATAAATCATATCATTATTATCACACAAAAATAATAAGAATAACATTGGTCATTGCGTGGTTTGGTTGTTTCCGTTTTTATAATTCCGTGACTTAGAGGGATACACGTTGCTACATTTTATCAGATTACGGATACGGTACAATTTCCAATACTTCAACGGTAGGGATACAGTAAACCGATCAGCTGATCGAGTGTCTATTCTATATTGTTATGTGCTTAGGCTTAGGACTTATCTACTGCAGACCTTTTATGCCTCAAACTTTTTCACTCGGATTTTTTTCTAGGACTTTTTACCGTGATTCAATTTGAAATACATGGCACAAAATTTAACACTGGCAGTTAAATTTGTGAAATTAAATCAACTTTCCCAACGAAAATTATTTAATTAAAATATTAAATTTATACATTTAGCTAATTTCGTATATTATAATTAAACAGGCGAAAATTAAATATTAAATTTTAATATAAACTAGTAATATCATTATTTTATAAACTAGAATCGATCTAAGTGGTTTTGAAATTCAATATCTATTTCACCTCACACTTGTGATGAAGTGGACCACTTTTTAGAACAAAAAAATACATGAACAGTTATAACATACTAGATTATACATTCCAAGTTTCAATCATCTTATTCTAGTGGATTATTTAAAATCTTAAAAAATATAGATAAATGTGGACCGAGTGTTCCACCACTTCACCCCATCTGTTCAGTAGGTCTACATGACTACATCATACATGATAATAGTGTGAAGAATATAAAATTAAATGCAACTTACACCACTATACATATTACATTTACAAAAAGATAACATTAACCAAGAATATGTGATTTTAAAAAAAAATAACAAAAAAAAATAATTGCCTACAACCATTAGGATTTAGGAGATTATCAGAACTCTTATACTGAGTTATACACACAATTAGCATTGCAGTGGCGTCATTTGGGGGAGCAAGGTGAGCATTTGTCCCGGTCTGATTTTAAAAGCGACCCGTTTGTTTCTATAAACCTTTTGGCATTTTATTTTTACTAGCACAAAAACATGCAATGTGTGGCATATGTTCTTTTGTTTAGGATGGGAAAAATTATTAAATCTTAAAACTGGTTCGTACGTGCCATAGAGTTGGAGATATCAGAGATCTATATCATGGGTGGGCAACTGGCGGCCCGCCGGCCGCATCCGGCCCGAGAGCTTTTTTTATCTGACCCGTGCTACATTCTGAAATTAAAATATAGACAACATAAATTCTAATTAAAATTACATTTTGAATGACCTCCTTTTTTTTGCTTTCTATGCTCTAGCCCACTAGATTTTAATTTTCAAAAAATTATCCCTCTAGTAACTTTGACTTGCCCATCCCTGATCTATATAATATTATATTTAAGTTATAAAAGAAATTAAAAATAAGAAGTTGTTTTGCGCAGAATCAATAATATTATTTTGTTTTGGAGTATTGTTAAACTTATTCTAAATAGAGGCCGTCATTATTGATAGAAAAATCCTCAAGAGTTTTTATAAAATAGCAGTTCAAAAATATAAAAGATACATAGGCCCAATTTTTTTTTTACAAGCATTCAAAGTTAAAATTTTGACAAGATTCATCAACAATTTGCACTGTATTGCAGTTAAAAATGTATACTTTTTTCAATTTTTATAGTTAAGGGTTGGACATTTAAAACAAGGTTTCTCAAAATAAGTATTTCATACTGTAACCAAAAAATCTAAAAATTAAATAAGCACGTTTTTTAAATATATTTTAAATATATGTTTCTATTTCTAAATTTTATTTGTGTAAAGTTATATTAGGTATCAAGTTCAATTTTTTACAAAATTATAGATATTTAAACAGAGAATAACGATATTTTTTTTGTAATTTAAAAATGTCTATTATTCGTAGGTGCTTATACTTGATTATTTGATAAATAGGGCAGTGAAGTTGTTGCATTTGCATGTTTTTTTTAAGTGGTTATATTTATTGCTGAGTGAGCTTAAAATATGTTTTGTTAAACTTTTCATAAACAAAAAAAAATTATATTGCAATAAATGCACTTTTGGCGATTTTTTTAATTTTACTGCAATTTTAATTTTTTTTCATAATTTTCGTTTACATTTAAGATTATATAACTTAAAATAAAAGTAACTAAACGTAGCAGTGAACAAATTTCTATATTTGTTGTAATACCTACTAAAAAAAAATGAAGGATATCAAGTAATTTTTCGTATATCAAAAATTCTAAGTGGAGAAATACAGTCAATGGAGGGCTTGCCAGAAGACTTGACCACCAACGATTTAATCTATTTCAAGTACGCGCCAATAACAACTACTGACGTAGAAAGAAGTTTCTCCCGATACAAAAATTTGTTGTGCGATAACAGACGATCATTCGATTTTGAAAACTTAAAAAATTTATTTGTAGTACAATGCAATAATGTAAGCAATATCAATATTTAATTTGTATTATTACTATGTATTAATATATTTAATTTTATTAATTATAATTAAATTTTTTTAAATTTTTTCAATGCAATTTTTAAATTTATAAGTGCAATTTTTAATATATTTTAATGCAATCAATTTAGTGTGTTTTTTAATGCAATAACTTCACTGCCCTATTGATAAACTTTTAAAGTATATCAAAATATCAAATGAAATATTTTTGGACAAAATTTAACTCTATCTACTGTAATATACTAATAGTACCTAATAATCGGCTAATATGAATTACTTTAAAAGCAATAATATCATAAAATATACTTAAATTATAATAGTATAGGCTAATAGGACGTCTTCACTCGTTACACACGTCTTCACATGCCCACCTTTTTATTATTATTATAATAAATTTATAGAATATAAGAACTTGGTGGAATTACTTGATTATTATAATCGTTGTACCTATACATACGCCTATCATAAGCTGTATGATAATATTGATCATCGATTTCGAATGTAACAAATATTACTGCAGTGGCCTATATTCAACGACGAACTATGAAGTACCTACATTCGAAATCGACTATATACTCACTAGAGGCAGTTTACGGTTCTTTTTAACAACTTTTTTAACTTTTTTTTTATTCCATCGGTCAACGTATAATCGTATCACAAAAAAGTATACAAGCTCAAACACACTTATTATGCTTGCGCCAAGAAATAATCCTAGGGATCCACCAATATTACCTAAAAAAACATATATATATAAGTTTTAATGAATCTAAAAATAAATGTCAATAATGAAAAAGAAAGAAAATAGGTGTATAATGATTGTTTCTATATTATATATATTATATTAAATAAGCAGTGGTCGAAGTGATATGGGGGATATGGTGAGATGGCATCCTTCCATTTTTTATGATTTGCATTTTCCATCCCTCCACTTATTATGTCTAAAATAAAGCACCCTCCCTATAATTATATACAAATATTATCAATTTATATTGGTGTTTCATAAAAATTGTATTTTTTACGATGATTTTTTATTAATTTTACAAGAATACAATGTTTTTTTTATATGAATTAAATATTTTTAACTCATTTAAATTGGACCACTTGACGTCTAGATCTAATTAATCTAAACGTCAATTATTCTTATAATTTTATGTTGATAAGAAAAATTTAAATACGAATACTATAATTTATTATTCTGGTGATTGAGTTACTTATAGACTTTCTCTATGGTATTATTGGTATTGCCCGATGATGGTAAACTATATCTAGGGCACAATAGCTAATAGGTATCTATTAGAGAGGTATCCAGAGTCATGTATAGTAAGTCTCTATATTATATAATGGGTATGCTATGCGCCTATGCCACCATTTTGGCATTTTGCGACTCATTTATGACTGTGAATATGAAATTGCCTGCGTTTATTTATCACTATTTTATTTATTTTTTCATCATTGTTTATATCGATAAATGAGTCGCAAAATTCCAAAATGGTGGCATAGGCGCATAGCATAACCATTAGGTATATAATATAGAGCCTTACTATATCATGAGTTTGAAAGTCGAGACCAAAACAATAAATATACAATTTATAACGTTATGTTTATGACTTATCAACATATTTTTTCTTTCTTTACTTTACAGTCATGGATAAAAAGAACGATACGAAGTTCTTAAAGAACTTCTTTTTATCCGTGGTTATAACCAGGATATAGTCCAGGTACATAATACTATAAAGAAATATGTAATAAAATAAAATAAAATTGATTTGTGTATCACATTTTGGGAAGAAAGTCAAGATGAGATTGACTATATTATGTTATTTAATTACTTAATATAATTTTATATTATTTAATATTTATTTTGTTCACAAATATCAATATACAATTGCAAATAAATGTCTAATAATTTGTTTCCTAGTTATTCTTACTCTATGGTTATTACACTTTTTTTTTATTGATCTTAAGCCCGACGACTAAGGCCATTAGCTCTTGTGGGGGTTATGAACTGTGGTAGGGGTAAAGTTGGTAAGGTAGGTTGTTTTTACGATTGTTACGGCTGTTAAGGTCGGTAGCAAGCGCGTAGTGTATGTGTGGCAACATTTTTAACTACTATGAACCCGGGTGGTAACCCATCTGGGAGCTATTATCTGTGGCCGTTACTTACTACCAGTCAACAGCAGCCAACGCACCACGCCAAGCCACATATTACACTTTTATATTTTATTATATTGTTTTGATTTAGTGTTCAGCTGAAAATTAAATTAAATCTTGTAATTTTGTGTCAATAGACAATAGCTAAAGTGCTATACTTATTAGTTATTATTTATTAGTGATTACTACGAAACCTTTTTACATACAAATCTCAATCTTTAGTTATTTTTTTGATAATACTATGTTCTGCAACATTTTAATGTCATTACTCATTAATTATTAATTTGAAAGTTATTAATACCTATGTCATTAAAGGCTTTAGACTATAGTCCTAATGTATAAAAAAGTTTAGTTATTTTTTTGTTTTTATACCTAGACCTACTGTATAATGCATACTATTAGAACCTATTGTTAAAGTGTATGTAGATAAACCATAGTAGTATAAGAGGCATCCCTCCGCTTATTTTGAGCCATTTCGACTACTGTTTATAAGTAATAAGTTAAAGGAATAAAGAGTTGAATTAATAATAGCTAGTTGAGTACATTATTGCAGTTGCAGTGGTGCAGTGGTGAAGTGGTATCTTTACTTACAACTTACCTAATAATTCATTAACTGGTATCAAGGCAGTTCTTTGTGCACTCCATAAATTCCTCTTGTAATACATAACTATAATCGATCTGTATTGATTTCTATATAAGTAAATAAAAACAATTTTGAAATTTAAAAAAAATATGTAATGTTCATAATCTCAAATATAATTAAACATTTCAACCTTTTTTGGGGATTTTTAACATTCTTTGTCAAATTTCTATGAGTGTATACAACGTTATGTTTGAATCCGATGCCTGTACAGACATCTAAACAATTACAATCATTTATAGTATTCATAGTTAACAAATTCTTGTCAAAGATTGAATAAACTAGAAAATTAATTGTTGCATTAATTATTATGTTTTTGTATTCTTAGGTATAGTAAATTATTATGAAGTTTACCTTCATTTGAATACTGTCGCATACATTTGTAGTTTTCAGAACCACATATTGGAGTATGTATATCTCCTATACATATATAGCGTTATTTATATTAATGTGGGTTATGACTTATGAGAAACAAATAGTTTTCTTAATTCTACATAGGGAGGGGTGGTTCTATTTTTCTAGACAGTTTTTCAGCAAGATAATGAGCCTGGAGCCTAGGATTGAACGGGCACTATTTCGTAGTACTCCGCTCCTCGTGGTCAAAATTACTATATAGGTATTCAGTATTCTATTACGTCATGTTTGTATGTAATTGCTTTTCATGTAATATTCCAATAAATTGAATACATTTTACTATAAAGTACTTATTATTAATTAAAAATAGAATCGGTGAGCATTTTTTTTCCCTCTGACCCAAATGAAACATACATTTTCGTTTAGCAAAACCTAACTTGTGTAGTTATTTGTTACCCTTTAGACTTTAGTATTATAAAGTGAATTGACCTATTATCAAATTTAAAGTTAATAATATAAATGGTACAATTACAACAATTAAACCAATTAATATTATGATAGATATACTATATTATATTATTAAATGTATAGGTACTGAGGATATGCTCACTTGGGTGGTAGTAAGCCACACAACCACACATCTTCAATGAATTATTGGCTCTACACTCAATATCACAGTTATTAACTGTATATTTTCTGAAAAACTTTAAAGTCCTCTCATGCTGATAATAACAGTGCCGAATATCGGGTTTCCAACTTAAAATACTTTCAGATGTTGTTACCCAAGTAAATGTAGTTGTAATATAAGCTATATTGTTGACAGCAATATACGCTGTAGGTTGGATATTAGCAGGTACATCAATCGGACTATGTAAAAATAACTATAACAAATTTACAAATTTTTGCAAATCATATCATTATAACCATTTAAAATATTAAGATTTATGTGTAAAATAAATTGTAAATAGCTATGTGTTCCAAAACAAATTATGTACCTATTAAATATGTATAGGTTAGCTTAAAGTAACCTACGCAATAGGGTAACCTAACCTACCGTCATTCCTTTATCAGTTTTAGGACAGTGTTTTCTTGTATTTTCGTTTTGTAAATTGAATCTTATTATAACAGAGTCTTCGACAGTATCACCTGTAACTTTCCATGGTAAATTAAATGGCTCTGCATTTTTATTAAATCCAATTTCTGGATCCCATGCAGTTTTGTTTGCCTTTGTTATAATTTCTGCTTTAGTATGATTCAAATTTGATAACCTAAATACACATGATGTATAAAGTATAAACCTAATAAATAATAATATGTAAGTATGCAGTGCATTGCACATGGATTGACCGAGATCCCTAATTCTGATTTTTTAGAATGTGTTATAGAAATATACTATAACTACATGCTATAAAATAATAACTTACACTTGATTATAGTCATTACTAAGCAGCTGATGAAAAGGAACCATATTCAATGAATAACAAACTCCATAAATTGTATATACTGGTTGGAAATATTTACAAGGTACATTGATTTTTTCTCTAATCCAAGTTATTGATATAACACGTTGTTTACAAAAAATTCTATGAGCCTTAAAAAAATATACAGACGTCTTGTTAAAACCAGATATATTTCATAAAAATACTATTAGCTCGTTGTTCATCGTAAATGTAAGTTTAATATGTTATAAATGAACTTAGATATTATGAAATATCGTTTGAAATTATAATTAAAACATTTTTATTTGGTAGTTTTGGATGAATCATATAGGTACTACAGCCATGCACTTGCTGATGGTGGATGCTAACGGTGGTACAATATAATTATATAAATCAAGTTACCTATAAATTATTATTGTAATCTAAAATAAACTAGAAGAGATTAAGTGATTTTATAATTGGTTAAAAAATAAAATAAATGGCACAAAAATATTCGATTGAATTTTCATGTAAATAAATACGTCTATTGGATCTTTAAATTGCCACTCAATATTTTAGTTTGATAATTATTATTAGGTAATTAGTATGGTAAAAAAGTGAATAAAATATAAATATTTAATTACATTAATTATTATGTATGACTATATAGTTATAAGGTAGTATAAATTATAAATTATAAAATATTACAATCAGTTTATAGCTAACACTCCGTTCTAAACCTTAAATAATCAAGATACTTTAAACATAAGTTAGAAAGGTACATGCTTTCTAAGTCTATACGAGTATTACTTGAACTATTTATTTGTGTACAAATAAATAATAATGTACAAATGTAAAATATACTATTGGTAAGTATAGGTACTTAAAGATTTTAAAAAGTGTACAATAAAATTATACCTGTATTATACTAGACATACCGACCTAAAATCTACCTACAAGAATTGTAAAAAAAAAATTTCCATTATAAGAATTAATCAAATTAGTATTTTAGTATGATTGTTAGAATGCATAGCGAGAGTAACTCATTTAGCACAAAACTAACTCCTCTTTTGGCGTGAATATAGTAATGTAGTTCCCTCTTTAGTATTTTCATCAACTTAATAATAATTGCATAATTTTCACATTCAACATTTTAGTAATTGTATGTGTATAATATAATTCAATGATATTATCGAATTTTACGAATATCTACGCAAATATTAAACCAAGTATTACAATTCATTGGAAAATTAATCAACGACACGATATTGATGAGCAGGACACTAGGACAGTCAATAATGCGATGGCATGTGATGCACATTGCACACATTTAACATAATAAAAATGTTTAGAATAGACACCTGATATTTAAAAATGATTTTTGAAGTTTTCAGTAATTGTTTTGATTAAGTTTGTTAATAATCTCCAAGTCATAACATATACGTTTGGTTAATGCATTCACCATTAATTTTGGTTTTGGTTAGATAACTTAGATGTATCCGCCAAAAAAAGAAAATTCTTATAAGCAATACAATAAATTTTACTTGGTAGTAATATAAAAAAAATAATATTATAATAAGTAGGTAAGTACCTACCTATTAATTATTATAAAGTGATAGTGAACCATTATATTATAGCTATTATACAGAGTGATCCAACAAATACGCTCACCCCCCTTTTTTTCTTTAATAATGAAGTTTTTCAAAATCTGATTTTTGGAATCTTTAAATATACTCAAATACCATGTTTTCATATTCCTGAGATTTTTTGTGCCACTTAAAAAGTGCTCTGTGGCAATACGAATACCCACTTTTTGTCTTTAAATTATTTAGCTGATAAGTTTTTTGAGAATTTTGATGATCGAAACAAAAATTTGAACGAGTGGTTTCCTAGTTATTGGACAATTTATACTAAGGATAATAGTTAACACATGAAATAAGAAAAATAACTAAGTAAATCAAGAATGATTTTACTTGCTATTTACCTAAGTAAGTATTGACTAAATAAATATAAAATTACGTATTATTTTATATTATGTGCATAGGCTATAGATAACATAACAACGTACACTGCATATCTGTCGTCCCTATTATAAACTATATTAGCCTTATATTATCCCTTAGACAACTCCCTCGACGCCCCTGGGAGCCGCTAAGCACAATTTGAATACCTCTGCTATATACTATATTTTACATGGTATAATATATTTGTTTTTGTAAATTAATCGAATATTTTACTTTCTGAATAAAAAATCTTGAATAATTTTTATACGGAGGATTTTTCGAAATTCACCATACACAGATCAAAAAGTATAATCTCCACACTTCGCCAAGCGTGTTTAAGATTAAGCGTAATAGTCGCACGGTCCACGCAGACCATTGCAGTAAATTAATATATTGCCATAAAGTCTTACGTTTAGTAATAAATCCCATGTTTTTGAATTTATAGAATGTTGACCAATGCTTAGATTAGGTTCATAAAGATGACACATTAAGTTTATGCTATCTTCATATTCTCTGAAATAAATACATTATTTCTGATATGTTGTATAGACATATATAGTATATTATTATATAATTATCAAATTATTAGAATGTATTATCTTCCTATATAGACCTTATACTTACCTATCAAGCGTTTGATTTAAACTCGTTAAATTATTGTCTAGGTTCTGCAATTGCAAATCACTACATATTGTGATTCCGGGGAATGGTACATCATTCAATGCTGAAAAATGTCTATTACTTTCGTTTAATATTGTCATAATATCACCTTCCATCCAATTGTTATACAACTGTTGTATTTGATATCCACACATAAGGAACACCAATGATATGACACAAATCCAAAATATCCTGATTATATACAAAAATATGATATTTTAAAATAAAATAATTAATTGTTTTTGTTGACGAATAAAAAGATAAAAATTTCGTAAAGTTCTTGCCTATTTAAAGAAAAAAATAATTGATAGGAATTTTTCTTTACTATGTGTCTATGTGGACATTTAATTTTTATGAAAACAAAAAATATATAAACAATATTAAATATATCCACTTATAGAATGGTGTTACGTGGTAACAATTAAATTATTGTCTATCACTACTGGTATACTGTGTGTAATTGTGTATCCGTAGTAATAGATCTGTACCAAACGGGGGAATGTGAGAGGATTTGGATGTTCGACAAGACAACTAGTTAAACCGAGTATTATTTAACGTATATTTAAAATGTAATATAAAATATTTTACTTTACCGATGATCTGGCAGCAACAATACACCGAGCAAGTGGTGAAACGAGACTAGCTCGGCTGACGAATGTCTAGCAGGCCGAAGGACTATTATAAATTTTGTTTACTATACATAATAGTTATACATATATGATATATATAGCTTTACTCCGTGATATTACAGAATGATGAAAGATGACGTTTATGATATATGTATAGTATATAATACTATACGTAATATTATAATTATAAAAATATGAAAACTGTAATGGAGTTCCACACCGCTACAATGGGAAATAATAATAGTACTGATGGAATTACATTAATACGAAAATTATGTTTGTATATTGGAATTTATAAGTTCCACCCATTTATTTTTCTGATTAATATACGGTCACCCAATCTTCACGATTACTTATTATAAAGATTGATGATAAACATTTTTATGATAACGATTAATTAATAATATTTTGTTTATTTGGCGACTATAAAAATGTTTAATTTTTTTACTCATGACCCTCCCCCCTCCTTCGAATGGTTTTCCATATAAGTGTAACGTGCCTGTTACTTAGATAGTGGCCATTTACATTTTTTAATTTTATAATTGTAACTTGTCACAAACAATGTGAGTGTAACACACAAATAAATAAAAAGGAGGAAAGTAGGTAACCGCTCTGCTGAAGAGTAGCAAGTAAGTGTCGAGTGTCCCTCGTCCTTTAGGAATAAGTCACTTGTATATTCATTGTTTAAAATGGGAAAAAATTCAGAGGGGACTAATGCCTCCATATAGTTTTCAACATTCCGTATATATTTGTATGTATAATGTCTAATGTATAAAATCCTAATTTGTTAAAGAAAACGCTTTTAACCGCTATCAGAGGTAGGGAGACTGAATACACCCACGTCCCCCAACCAATTTAACCCCTGTGTATGTATATGTGTTGTATTTGAATTCTATTATAAATCATTTCATACCAAAAAAAATATTATGTTTATCAATTGATTCTGAGCAAATACAGAAAGTTTGTCAATTTCATCCAAATTTAAATTTAAAATATCTATAAAAAAAACTATGTTGACTGGATACTTTATTAAACTCTTACGTAACTACAAAATACATTTTGTTAAAATTTGAATGCTTTAATGATTATAAAAAAATGTGCATATTATTCTTAATATTTTTCAATACTTAGCTATAAGATACTCAAGCTTTTCAACCCCGTGAATATTTTTTTTTTCGACATACATAGACAAAAAATTGAAAATGTCTATATAAATTCTATAAATACCTACCTAACAATTAATAATAAGAAGAAATGCTCAAAAAGAGTCAAAATGTTTAGACAATTATACAAATTGTAGAATATAGTAATTTAAACATTTGGTGAAAATAGTATCAACAGTATCTATATCTACGGTTATATTTATTTTTTTTTTAATTGTTTGATGAGAAATCGTTATTTTTCGAGCAATTATCAAATTTCGTCAATTATAAAAATTATTGGTGGATTTGCGTACAACTTCTTTTTTTTTATCTCCAACAATAACAAAAACTTATGAGGAATCTAATATTCAATTTTCAAACCTTAAGCTCAGTGGCGTGTATTATAAAAAAAAAAGGTGTTGCTCTAATAATTGTTGGTGACCTACCCCTCATTATACTATTATACCGACTTATAAAATGCCCTATGTTTCTTTTATCAATACCGACCCACCCATATTTAAGGTGTTGCCTCAGCAACACTTGGACCCTATGTTACACGCCACTGCTTTAGCCGCTTTAGGTATGAATATTAAAAATGTTATGAAATTTAACTACAAAGTGATTTGAAAATTCGAGATTTCGTTTCGCTCACAAAATCTAAAAGTGAAACACAATGTATACAGACATACAGTTACAGTATATTGCACAAAGCACATTCGCTGACTGAATGTCTATTATTTTCAACTTTTTTTTCGAGTGGATCAAAAAAAACTATACCTATAACGATTTTTTTTCAAACGTATATTAATTATTTCATTTATAAGTAAAATTTCATTTTGAGGTTATAACCATAAACCTTAAGTGGAGTTTATAACTCACAGTGCCGTGTCGTGTTCGTATATTTAATACATATAGGTAATAAAATGTTGGTCACGTTGCCACAACATTAAATATATTAATTACCTATTAAATATATGGAACACGACAGTACGACACTATACGGTGAGTTGTCAATCCCACTTTAATCTTTATAGGTACTCGGTACTCATAAAATGAGTAAAAGGTCTATGGTTATAACTTATAAGTTTATAACACATATTTGTTCTTATGATTAATAAGAATAACATATTTTGTCTGGTACCAACCTTTCTAAATATGGTCGCTTGGGTTCCCCTAAATAAATTACTCCATGTAAACTTGTGGCAATGGAAAATTTCCGTAAATAATTTCCTTCGCCAAAACCTATTGGCTTAATATTCATCTGCTTACCATTTAATACACCCATCCGTCTTCGAATAATTATGCCATTAAAATGCGAATCAATCATTTCGAAATAAATTTAAAAAACAAAATATTTTTTAAATCGAAATAATAGTATAATATTAAAACAATTTATGATGAGCAGAATTTATGCTCTACATCTGAATTTATTATATGGTACTTGAAATATGAATTATAATGAAGTAGGTATCGTATAACTATTAAAAACAATTATGCAAGTCACTAAAGAAGGTAAGCACTAGCTAGGTAGCCTAAACATGGTAAAATATTAAGTTCTGACAAGGTGTTTCATTAAATACACATTTAAATATATATTTTACAAAATAAATAACATATTCGTCAGTGTAAGTACCGAGTATAAATATTATTTTGACATATTTATTCTAAGGGGGTCCTTACTATCCATAAATATTATATGAGTACCATGCAGTACCTATATAAATAAGTATAATTTATTTACCCACATATTATTATACGTTTCTTAAAAATTCGTTAAAATATAATATTTGCCTTTCTCATATAAACAAAAATTATTCAAACAATAATTATCATTCAAAAAGAAAAATGTTGGTATTTACAATATAAATAGGTTATTATATTTTAATGACATTTTGAATTTAATTCTAGCATATTATATAACCTGTAATTGTTACATGCCTTGTTGACATTTCAGGTCTGCGTGTCCCTTGTAAGCACCTACCGCTATCAACAGTCATGGTTGTTTTAGACCAAAATTTAGCGGTGTTTGTCAATTGCGCTGATTTTTCTAGACTACCTGAAATTTATACATCTTTTGCGCCGGTGGATTTATCCCAAATGAAAAAGGTATACGTCTTTTGCGCCAATAAATTTATCACAAATTAATTTGGTATACATAATATATATCTATTGTGCCAGGAAGATATTATAAAATATAAAATATCATATTATTATACTATTATTAGATTATAATATTATTATCAAACACATAAAATAAAGTGTAATTTAAAAAATATAAAAAAATTAAAATACATATAAATAAACGATGATAAATTACATATGAATAAATTGTCAAAAAGTATTAAAATTTCATTTCTTGTAATGGTGACTTACCGACTTCACAAATTGAAATATATTGATAGTACCGTCATATTATTATACTATTATATTAGATATTTTATTTTAATTAAAAAGTACATAATGAATTAAATTATCAAACATATAAAATAAAGTGTAATTTAAAAATATAAAAAATTTAAAAAATTAAAATACATATAAATAAATGATGATAAATTACATATGAATAAATTGTCAAAAAGTATTAAAATTTTATTTCTTGTAATGGTGACTTACCGACTTCACAAATTGAAACATATCAATAGTACCGTTTTTATATCTTGAAATATGATCATCGATGTTTGTTTTTTGTTTTTTATACTTAATATTTTGTATTTTATTTTCTTTTTGAATACTATTGATTTTTATGTATGTCTGTACTTGTATAAGTTTCAAAACTTCCAAAAATACAAAAATATTTGGGTGTGCTGAGTAAAAGTATTTTCCGAATGCTGAATGAAACGACTCGCAGGCATTTGTAGTTCTTTCACTTGATATACTGCACGACGCCCACATAAATGGTGGAAAAGTTGCGTCTTCGTCAATATACATATTAATAAGATAATCACTAAATTGAGTTACCCGTTCATCCGTAGATTTTATACTCATAAAATCGTTTGCAAAGAGATTTCCAACATTTTCTGGTTCAAGTAGTGATAGACCAAATATCCACCTTAACCATTGTCCAATTTCACTTAAATCATTCTTATACTCACTAGTTAAGCCTAAATTTTGAATTTTTCTCCACCATGCTTGAGATAAATGAAAACGACAGCCGTGTAAAATTATAGTAGGCCAAACAGTAATTATAGCATTATGTAAACTTTTCTCAAAATCTACAACACATACTTTTGGATTGAATTTAATTGATAATTTTGATTCACAAATATCAATTAAAGCCTTTAGAGCTCTTTCATAGACAATAGATTCTTTACTCGGTAAAAGAAAAAAAATTAATGGAATATAATGTCCATTATTTACTGTGTGAATCGTAAATAATTGGTAAAAATATTTCGGACAGTAAGAAAAGGTCCCATCCATAAATATTTTTTCTTGACAACAGATGAACTTTAAATTAGTTACCGTTGAAAACGCTGTTATATTATTTTCAAAATCATTTATTAATAAATATTCTTCATTTCTATTTGTAAGTGTTGTTGTGGACATTATTATTTCCTGAGTTTCTCGCAAATTCTTGGGTAATTTTAGTATAGATTTTCTTCTTGCTCTATATAAATTTTGTCGTATATTTGATATGTCTTCAATTTTGAGATCATTTGTTGATTTTTCAGTAAATATTTGTTTGTTAATTAATTTTAACGGCTTTTCTATAGCTTTTCTTTTAACTTGATTTGATATAATTTGTCGTTGAACGTTTTTAGGAGGGAGATGATTGTATTCAGTTTCTTCTTTTAATATTGTAGTTTTAACCTCGTCAACATACAATTTAGCGTTACAAGTTTTTTCTGCAACACTGTTAATTATACCAATGAAGGAAAAATAGTTAACACTACCGATAAGAATTTCTAGATTCTGAGAGAAACGAGGAATGTATTGATTTTACTATATATTTTTTTTTCTTTGTGCTTGTGTATACCAGAGGCACCGAGATTCTAAAAATGTAATCAGGCCCAAATGAAAATACAACGGCCCCCAAACCTACATTTCTTCTTTGCATTGAAAAATGTTTTTGTAAATTAGTTTCCTATGGTTTAAAGACTGAATTACGAACTTCCTATATAAATAACTATTAATATATCTTTTATTTGTATTAAGTAATCAAACATAATTTATTATGTTGGTTAAAATATTGCAAAGACGAAAAGTCATTACCATAACCGTTCAGCCCTCCTCTGATCGCTAGCCCACTTTTAAACATGTAGTAAACATAGGTACGTATAGTATTTGGCGTCACTGGTGGACACGATAAGTAGTCGAAGTAATGCTTCGATTTTCAACTTTAGTTTCTTTTCTGGTGGGAAAGTAAATCTAGTTAGTGCATTCAGGTCAAAATTTAAAATTCCCAAACATTTTCAAAAGCTTCACAAACAAAAAATTTAAAAAAACGGGAATTTTTACAAAATCAATTTTGATTTTTAGTGTAACTCTCAAGTCAAAAAACTTGAAAATGTACTACTAGGTTCCTCATAAGTTGTTGTTACAGGAAATTAAAAAAAAAATTGAGCTTAAATAAATAAATAATATTTTTTTTATGAGCTCCTCAATTTCAAATTTTAAATTATTTTGTAGTTAAAAATTTATAAAATGTTCAACTTTTCCAGCTAAGGAGTAAGGGTTGAAAATTTAAAACAAGGTTCCACATAAATAGGATATTCAATGACTAAAAAATCTAAAAAATATGTAAATAAAGTTTTTATTATAGTTAATTTATTTTTAAATTTCGACGAAATTACATATTAAATAACCAAGAATACTGATTTAAGTTATTTTGTTGTAATTTAGAAATATCATTTGTGGATACTTGAAACTTTTAAAGTATTTTGTTATATTTTAAACATACAATGACATTTAAAAATTCAATTTTTTTTTGATGAAAATAATTTAACCTACTGTAGTACTAATACCTAATAGTAAAATAAATTATTTTAATCACAATGACATCATTTTTTATATCTTCTTAGAAATATTATAAGCTGACAGTGGACAGATCATTTTCCCTCAGAATCGTTTTTTGTACACAATGATTTTGTATTATTGAGTTCAAATTTAACACATCCATTACACTGTAATGATTACAGTGACGCACCAGCCACCACTCATGAGGCACATAATGTACAGGAAATCAGTACCACATCCATACCCTGACCAACCGAAAATCACTCATTCTGTTTTTGTTACTGAAATTTGACAAAACGACCAAACTTAAAATAATTTTAAAATGATCTACTCAAAAGAATAGGTTAACTATAAAATAAGAAATAAAATCAACAAATATATTATTGTTTAATTTTTAAGTATAAACAAATAATAATAAAATAAGCTTTTATCGTTCTAGAATTAAGTCTTATTAACAGCTAACAAATGTTAACCCCTATGACTAGAGACACATACTTAAAATCCTTATTTACTATTCGTTTTACATTAAAACATTGTGCAAGTATATACTTTAAAGCTCAACAATGTTTTATAAAGGTAACAAATTATTATAATAACACATTTTAACAAATTATCAAAACTTATTTCAGTGATAGTGATTTGTAATACATAATAATATAACTTAATAATGGAAATCGGATTCAACTGATTCAAGTTATATTGTGTTATATGTACTCTAGATATATATTTTATGCTAAAATAATTTCTATTACAGTTTAACTTATAACTACATTTTAGTATAAATTAGATATTGGTCAATTGTGATTATAGAATTGTGATAAATTAAATTGCTTTTATATATATCACATTGTCTTGTAAAGCTCGTTAGTTGCTAATTGAAGCACAGCCCAATTTAATTTGTACGTGCAAAAACACAAGGTATTTTTTCTTTATTGAAGAAATAATTATACTAAATTATTGATAAGATGTTGATGGCGAAACAACGGAAATGTCTCCTGTATTTACACTGAAAACAAAAAAAAAATGGCAATAAAATAATTGTATTATAAAACACTGCACAAAAGGAGGATAGAATGAAGAGATATAGTGCTGAGCACTAATGTCTGTAATTTTATCATACATTTTAGGCAATAGTTCATAAAATTAAAAAATGATTATGATAAATCTACATTAGACAGAAAGTATGTAATAAGCCAGGGGTCTTCAACTTTTTTATGCAGCAAGCCACAGATTATTTTCTACAAATCACTCAGCCCGCATTTTTAATAAAAATATATATGTTATACAACAATTTTAGCTAGATTTCCAACAACATAAGTTTATTTTCAAAAGATTTAATATGGTTGAAATGTATATTCAAAAATCAATAATTCAACAATAACTAGAATATCTACAATAGGTACTGGAACCTGATGACAGCATTCAACTTAAGTTTTAAAACGGCATTTTTATATTTACCCAATTGTAAATAAATGTAAATAATTATAAGCCAAAAGCCTACGTATAATATAATTTTTAATTTTAACATACCTTGGTTTATATTTGATATGAAGAATTAAAAACAATAACCCTAATAAAAAGCAGCAACATCCAACAACAATATAAGCATATCCAAGAAATAAGTTTCTGCCTCCTGTAAATGAAGTATTGGACAGTATCAAACTTTTCGTTCCACCAAAACCTGCTACTGGATAATCTAAACAAATTGTTGAATTGTATTAGTAAATCAGTATTTTTTTGAAATTATATGAAACATACTATAATCTATGATTAATTTGTAATTTCCTTTAGGCAAGCCATTTTTAAATTCCTTAGAATGATCAATACGCCTGTATAATTTACGAAAATCCGGAAGTGCTGCAGTTCGCATCCAAACAATCAAATCTTCATTTTCAAAACCATTGTTTAATTCATTTTCCTTATCCAATTCCCATATATTCACACGCCAGTCAATTGGTTTTTCAAAATCTTTAAATGCTAAAAAAGAAATATTTAATACCATATAAATGATTTTATTATTTACATGGTTTACAAAACATAAAATGTCAGTTATAATTGTTGCTAGTTAAGAATTATAAAAATGACATTATTAACTCCTACTCATTTTTTCAGAGGTTTTATACCAAAAAAATACATAGAGAGCTATACTATGTGTTAGACTGTGATATGTATTAAACACAAATTATAAAAGTTTCCTATCAGAGTATGCAGTGACAATATTACAGCTAAAGCAAAAGCAAACTACTATCATAAAAATTGTACCCCCCTATGCTTGGTATTACCAATAAGGAAAAATGTGTTTTATGTGACTTATAACAGGTATTTATTTTTATTTTTATTCTAGTGTATTTATAACTTATTTTAATTATTTATTACTTGAGTATGACAAACTATGTAATTAAAAATTATTATTGTTCAATATCGACATTTTGTTTTTTAAATATCCAACCAATAATTGGAAATTTTGCCCAGGCTATATTTGTTGGTGTAGAACATTCCTCCTTCAAGTTTGTTTTTAAGTGAATATTTCTTCCTCATTTTAGAATATACATAATGCTATAGAGAAAATTAACTGAAAACAGCTGGGATAATTATCCTAAATTAACATGTATTTACTTAACAGAGACAATAATATTAAATATAATTAGTCAAGAACAATGTTTAAACCCTTAAATAAATATTGGAGTTAACAAAGTAATAAAATATTTATTGTTTTTAAATCATATATATTATTTTTATTCTTTCTCAAAAAATATATAATTTCAACACTATTTTCTTATTTCATTTACTACATAAGTCATTTCATATAAATACAAACTTCTAGCAGCATTAGCATTTTATAAGATAGTGGCTGAATTTTATCTTGTTAAGTGATATAATTTTGTTGTAATATTATTTTCTTCTTGAAACAATGATATTATATACACTATATTATATGTGGTACTAGATGTCAGTAGTGGGAAATGGATGTGCAGTTCTAATGTGTTTTTGTCCTCTACCAAAATTGTTGATTTCAAAGTTATATATTTTTTTCAATTATTTTATTTTAAAACTATAAATAATCTATATTAAGTGATTATGTAAAATACCTTCTTTCAAATTTCCTTCTGAATGTTCTGGATTTTGATATTTGATACTTTTATCAGATTCCCAAGCAATTTGTGTTCGAAGTAATGGAACAGTTTTTTCATTGTACATCAATGATAAATTATCTAAAATAAAAAAAATTAATTCAAACATATTATATATTATTTTATTTTATTCATTGTACATTAGTTTTAAAATTAATTGTTTGATTTTGAAACAAATGGATTATAACATATATCACAGAATATAATAGAATATCATTATTTATTCCGTGATAATACCAATGTATTTGAAAATCTAGATAAGACTTTTTCATATTAAGAGGACATTATACCCTCGTATTGTCCCCATCTTACTAACACGCAACATGGCAAAAACTGTTTTTGCGTGGAAAAACTTTCCTTTCTCTGTATTCATAGAAGAATTACCAACATTCTACAATGCATAGGGAAGAACTTTATCTGTGACATAGTGTTTTTATTATTTGGATAACATAAATACAATTAAAGTTATCAGTTTGAGAACATTAGATTTTTTTGTTTATTTTTGTTTAATTATTAAAAATTATTAGTTAGTGCTATCAAAAAAAAAATATCTACATCACAGTAAAAGTTCTTCTCTATGCATTGTGGAATTTTGGTAATTCTACTATAAATACAGACGGAGTAAAGTTCTACACAACAGTTTTTTCTATGTTGTGTGTAAGATGGAGACAATGCATGCAGGTATAACATCCTCTTAAGGTGCCTGGTACCAATGTAATTTTGTCCACAAAAATACGGATTTAGGATGTTTCCATCCTGCCTTTTCGCCCCCGATACAATGGACGTTTCCCCCGGACAAAACATAAAAATAAAAATATTAAACAATAATAATAATATACAATGCAAATAAATTTGCTCAGTATAATCCTATTAAATTAATATACAAATTTACTAATATAAATATAAAAAATATTTAACACAACACAAATACAAATTATAAATATTTATATAAATATGATATAATTAAATAATACAAGTAAAAAAAAATATAATTTATATTTTTTTATTTTGGTACAATATATCACGGAATACAAACGTCAAATTAATACTGTTGACATTAAAATCCAAAATCAAATAATACAAATCAAAAAGCCAAAATAATATTTTGTATTCTGGTAATATAGCTCACGGAAATTAAAAATTTTTAAATATCATCATAATAATATGATGATTGTATATTTCAGGTAAAACCAAAGAACCTATTTTTATGTGTAAAAAAAATATACATTGATTCAGGTGGGAAATGTCTCTGTACGGTGGGGAAGAAACGTCCAGTACCGCTAAAAATTGATGGGGGGGGGGAGAACGTCCAAATACCCGAAAATAAGTTCCGGGACCCTTAAACACAATTTACCCAGATTATTTACTTATACAAATTAGAAAATATTTAAACATAATGTAATTAATGGTTACTGCCATTTGAAACATTCTGTATATTATGTAAGTACTTTAAATCAACAATACATTTAAAAAAGATTATTTAACAGTAAATGAATACATACCACTGAATAATGAATTGGCAATAGCTCCACAAGGAGCAATTGGCTTGTTGTTGTGATAATCATATGGAGCACAGTCACTAGATGGAGTTTTGCTTAGTTTTCCAAGCAACTGAAAATCATCCCTTGATTTTACATAACGTCGATGGTTTTGGTAATAGTTGGTTAATCCATAGTACATGTAAACATTGGGCTAAACAAAGTACAAATAAGACTTGTTTAAACATTAAAATAACATTAACCATAGTGTTTCACATCAATTTAATATCATACAGTAAAATCTTCTTCCAATTTAAATGGAATAGTGCAATGGCAAGACATATTACGATTGCTACCAATGAATTCGGCACAAGATCCCGGATGATCAATTGATTTGCAGTGGGTATAATCAAGAGTAAATTCTTGAACCTAAAAACATATTCAAATACAATTGGGTTTATATAGAAACATACATAGGTAGGTATTAAAAATTACTCACCAGATTTGTGAGGTATAGTAAACCTATGCCAATTGGAATAAATGCTGCTGCAACTGCAAAGAATATGGGCATTACATTGCGTGCCGTTAGAATTGGTTGCCACGCAGGCAGCCGTTGCTGTTTGAATGCTGTATCTATAATAATACCCAAGCATAAAAATATAAATTTGTGCCAATTCTACTTAATGTACCTTATGAACATTTTTTTTAAAAACTCACCAGCTGGTTTTTTAGACTTTGATTCTTGTAAATCCAACATAGTATGTATAATACTATTATAGGGTTACAACTGTTACAACTTACAAGTACCTATAGTAGTACAAACGAGAAGTATTTTATTTCGATAACTACAGCGGTTCTACATTCGACAATGCTAACTGATAGCACATCATTACTTGACAGCAGTTGAGCAGTACGACTACGAAAATAATAAAATTGATCACTTCAGGACATGCAATCTATCAGACAATCGCGACTGTACAACTTTTACGGTTTGATATTATGAAATATGAAAATTAGATTAAATTGAATATTATTATTACTATGATTAACCAAGTGATAATGTTTCGGACGGCACAACTACAACTGTCAACTACTACTACGGCAGTTGCATAAAATAATATAACAGAAAGATTAAAATGATTCAATGATAATATTAATATTTATTCTATGACAGTTGTTGTAAAGGTTACTTTCGAGTTATGAATGGCAGTGTACAACTTTACTGTACATTATAACAATATCATCATGATAATATGTACATAATATATATGTATTTAAATATTTTTATTAAAAATCGTTGACTCCAACTGCAATGGAATATATAAATTATCTTTATATATATATTATATATATAAATTATCTTTATGTATATATTATATATATATAATATTATAAACTATTAAAATAATCGTTATCAGCTGTTTCGTACACATCGCGGGTATATTAAATATTTCAGTGTAAACATCATAGATAACTATAATTATTATAGCATGACCATAAATTGACCTTATAGATCATTATAACATAATGATAACATAGCTAATAAACAACTTTATTATATACCTATTGTAATTTATGATCTAAGAGCATGTCGGAACATCTAACTATTCTGTCATTTATTATTGACAAAATTATATGACATAGCTACATAAAAGATAAAACATATTAATATACCTACCTATAACATATAGGTTTACAATGAATAATTATAATTTTTAGCAAATATCGTTTAAGATAAGATGGGTACTATAATGACTACAGCCACTACTTTGAACACTTTAAAACAGTTATTACTCAAGTCACTGCTTCTTGTTTAGAGAGTAGAATGCTAAACCACAGAATATAATTAAACATTAAATAGGTAGTGAATATATTATATTATCATTATTCATTGTATAATGAGGTCCTCATCGCGATTCACGATTATGAGACTTTATTTCAAGATTTAAGTACATATTGATATTATGGACTACGGTTCTTTATCTTATACTAAGAATTGTATGACGCACCTTGAGGCTTGCACGGTCTAAGACGGTGGTGACAGGTGTGACACACCATGATGTATAATGTATAAACAATATTAAACATTAACATAATGATAATATGAATGGTAAATAAATTAGGCTTACTATTTCAGACTTTCAGAGCGTATTCAAATATTGATCGTCTTGACAGTCTTGTACCTTTTATATACAAGTAGGTAGTTATATTTTTGAGTAAGTTATAACTTTTTTGAAACTGTACATTTTAAAATGATTATAACCTACTTAAAAATAATAATATCAATAAAAGCGTACATGGTTACGAGGGGCTTAGATAATAATCGTAGTATCTTACGTCTATATTTTATAATAGCTCAATTCAATATAGTACATATAACAGCATATTATTGAAACTGGTGTAAAACTATATCACCTTTGTTATTAGTGTAAAAATGTATATCTTGTCATCCATTATGCGATTACTATATTATGTACGAATCTAGGAAAAAAAGACCAAGGAAAAAAAGAACACGGAAAAAAAGAACAACTTTTAGAAATTTTAAACAGTGTCCCACTAATTAATATTTTTTAAAACAAAAATTTTAATATAATGCATAGACACTTATGCTATATTTTTGGTATTATTTATAATAAAAAAAATACGAAACATAAATACAATAAAGCTTAGTATAATAATATAGAGTAAGATACATTTTTATTACTGGAAATGCCCTAAGTAATCCTAGTGCCCTTATAGTTGACTATAGGTGACCTTTTCATACTTTAGAGCTATAATTTGAGTGAACATATTTTAGTCTATTGACAGTCATTGAAGTGTTCAAGTGTTTTCATTAAATTTTTATACTTCAATTTTTTAAATACATTTGAAATGGAAATTGTTATGAAAGCAGTATCAAAAATGAAATTAATGGCTATAACATCCTGTACAAATCCAGTCGAGATTTATGCTCGAGGTGTCTCCGAGTTCGATGAACGTTCTAAATCAAAAATTTATGTTTCGTATTTTTTTTATAATAAATAATAATAATAATAAATAATACCAAAAATATAGCATAAGTGTCTATGCATTATATTAAAATTTTTTTTTTAAAGAATATTGATTAGTGGGACACTGTTTAAAATTTTTAAAAATTGTTCTTTTTTTCCGTGTTCTTTTTTTCCTTGGTCTTTTTTACCGATTACCATTATGTACTTATCCCGAATAAATGTATAATTCAGTCGAAAAGAGAAGCGACCACACTAAATTCTGTTGATTTGTTACTAATATTTGTAAAATAAAAACCAAGCATATTTTATTTGGAGAAACAAGAAACGTGGAGTAACAGTATACGAATCGTGGAATAAAAAGTAACGAAAAAAAGGCGGCACCACACTAGGAAAAAGTCAATTAATTGAAAAAGTCTAAAATAATGAAAACAATAGATCCTGAATAACTATTAGGTATTATAGTGCAATCTAAAATATAATATTTTAATCACAACTGTTTTTTATGTTACGACTCACAGCTAAGCTTAAGTTTTTTTTATCTTTTTATCATTATGCACAGAAATAAAAGTTGGGTGAGTTATTTCTAAATCAGTATTTAAAATCCATGGACACTTCATATAGAGCTATTTTTTGAACACCTCCAACGAAAAATATTAGAGCATTTTTTATGGAAATTGAACAAAAATCCCATATACGCAACTTCAGGGTTATTTTTTCTAATTATTTAATTCCATTTTAGATTCTGAGAGGAGTGATAAATATATTGATTTTACAATGATGTGTGTTTTATATTTTTTTTTTGGGGTTTATCAACACGGTTTCTTGCAGTAAAAATGCTTCAATTTTCTTCAATTGCAACTTTTCTAGTAGGAAAGTGAATCTATAGTTGGTGCATACGTGAGGTCAAAATTTAAAATTCCCAATAGTTCTGAAAAGCAATAAGAAAAACAAACAACAAATTAAGGAAAAATGGGCATTTTCAAGTAAAACCCGTTTTTGAAAAAATCTATTTTGGTTTTTAGTGTAACTCTAACAAAAATTACTGTAGACACTTGAAATTTACACCAAATGTTTATTTTATCAATTTATATACTCGATAATTTTTTTAAACTATTCCGACTCGTTTCAGGCTGTTGACAGACATTTCCATTTTCCTTTTTTTTCTATAAATGTCAATACAATTTAAGCATGAAAAATTAATACAAGACTCTTGATCACTTGTTACAATAGTAGTTGAAAAATATTAAAAATACATAGGCATGATTTTTTTTTATAAGCATTCAAAGTTCAAATTGCATACTAACACAAAGAATAACGGTTATCATTTTGTTGTAATTCGGTTCCAAAACAACCCAATTTTACACAGGTATATTTAATATTTTTCCAGTATCACTGATAATTTAAGAATAATATAAATTCAACATATTATCGGCTACCATATTAATAATAACTTATAAGTAATAACAATATAAAATATCCTAAATTCCTAAACTGACATACCGTCTCCGCTCAGAATCGTTTTTCGTATACAATGATTTTTGAATTCAAATTTAATACCATCCAATTCAGCAACCTCCTAGACACCTAATTTACAGCAGAGTGACATCTACTTGCCCGTTTTTTAAATGCAAACTTGCTTTTGAACTGCGAACAAATATAAAATTCTATAACAAACGCTGACTCATACTCGTACTTATTGTTATAGTTGTTACCTATACTATAGGTATGACTATAAGAGTTATGACAGATATTATGGTAGATAACAAATAAATTATAAATATAATATATATGTTCAAGCATTTTATACATTACAGTATTACACACTAAATTACCAAGTCCAACTGTAGAACTGTACAAGAAAAGGTATTTCGGTAAATGTTTCACTAAACTTTTTTTCCCCGATCACCCAGTCAGTATAACTGACTTTATAGCAGTCTGAGGATACTTTAGAAACTTTTATTAGGTAAAAAAATAACCTATTTTTGAAAATGTGTGATTATGATAACATCAATATATTCTTGGAAGCATTATCTAAAGAAAAATAAAGAAAATTATACCTGGGTTACGTTGTGCAGCATGACGTGCATTTTTTTGACACTCCCAGTCTCCCAATGAACAAATAATGAAATAACATATCGACTTTATCCGAATGATTCATATTTATCAAGGAGTAACGTACGTACATGTTTGAACGATGACAAATATCAAAATGTTCAGTCATTTCATTTATTTTATCGTATTTAATTTTGTATCAAACTGTCATACGGATAAAAGTTTACCTTAGCCACTACATAATATTATAATAATTATTTTATTGAAATAGAAAATATACATGCTTAATTTCAAATGTGGTCGCGTGCCGCATATTATGACGAGGAGGGCCGCGGGTTAAAGTAATGTTTAATTTTATAATGACCGAAAAATACGATAAGTATAAGATTAGCATAGGCAATTACCTAATTAAGTTGATCAATTTATAAATACCTGTTTTTTTTATTAATTATTGATGCGTTCTAATAGATTCATGAAATGAAGAGAATAAACAATATACTTATTTAAGCTTTTTCTGCTTTAAGATTTTTTTTTTTTAGTTTTGATTCGTATTCAAATTAAAGTGAAAATTATACAGTAGTTAAAATTAAAATAAGGTGTAATTATAGCCGTAATAAATAGTAGTAAAAATGGTAGGTAATCCTTAACAATCCTAGAATAATCTTTTCAGAGTTACAGTTAAAAAGCTGAAAATCGAGAGCATTTTTTTTTGAACTACCGTAACTTGGTCAATTTTCGAATTAGAAAGTTAATTCAACTACCAAAATTTATAAAAAATAATTAATGGTTGAAACAGGTGATTGCCATTTAAAAAAAATGTTAACTTACGCATACGTATGACTAGTTAAGTAAAAAAAAATTCCAAGTTCACCAAAAATTATATTTTTATGTCATAACAACAAATCAAAAAACAGAATTCAAATAGCAGGACTCTACGCAAAGATATTGGGCATTTTCGATTACCGTTTACACATTGTAGACGTATAAACAAAAAATGTATCATCATATGAAGCTCCTGTGCTAACAACTAGGCAAGTCAAAATAATTTACACAATACCAACACTAGTGCGCAATTACGGGGGTGAACCGCATCCCCCTTAACTTTAAGCACCCCTACCCCCATGTTGTTTAATTTCAAATATCTTTAGTTTAAATCAGTGGTGGCCAAACTACGGCCCACCATCATTTAATATCTGGCCCGCGAAAGGACTATAATATTTTATAATTTTATATTTACGAAGAAAAAAAAAATTTTGATTTAGGTAAAAAAAAAATACAGTATATATTCTTCATATTTAACCCCGTATCGCCATACCGTAACGTTTTTGTTGCTACAATGTCATTTAATAATATAAAATATAAATTGCATTATCGTATCTTATCTTATTTTCGTACGATCACGATGGCTGTAGAATCTATAGTATACATTATATTGGTTGCGCAACGAGCACGGTATTTATTCGTCTGCCACCACATAATTATTGGAAATGTAGCCGAAAATAATTTTTTTTTCATTTGTAGTAATTATTAAGTTAAATATTAAAGAAAGTCATTAAAATTATTGAGTACAATAAAAACGTCGTTAAATATGAAATATTTAAATATCTACCTATGACTAAAATTCTGATGACTAAAGTAAATTTTTTTTTTTATGGCCCGTGGTAAAAATGTTTGGCCACCACTGGTTTAAATGATGCAATTTTATTTTTAAGAATTCATTATTATAATTAGATTCCGAGAGGAGTGATTTTACAATGTAATGTGTTTTTATTATTACAGTGTTTGTGTACATGGTAAGTAGTAGAAATAATGCTTCGACTTCTAACTTCAGTATATTTTCCGGTGGATAGTTGGTGCATTCGGGAGGTATAAATTGGGGCGCCCGGGAATTGGGCCACATTTTAATTAATTGTTTCGTATAAAATATTTGTTTACATTTTACTACCCGGAGATTGGGCCATAAAAGTATAGCACACAAAATATATACTATTAATACTATTAATACTAATTATTATTTTTTAATATATAAAAATACAGTTCCTCAAATAATTAATATATTTTTTAAATACTTTCATACAGATTTAACTAATTTAATATGTAACAATTTCCATAAAATTAGTCAAATAATAAATAATAATATAAATTATATGAAAAAAACATTTTCTAATAGGTACTTAAAAATGGTATTCGGAAAAAAAATCCCCAGAATAAAAACCCCCGGATAAAAAATCCCCGGAAAAAAATCCACAGGAAAAAAAACCCCCGGAAAAAAAATCCCCAAAGTTTACTTTGTCGAGTTTGCAAAGTTCACTTATATAATATAATTGTACATCCTAAACGGAGACAAACAAAATACTATGTCGGTGTAGCGTCCTCTCAATAAACGCGATTACGATGTTATACCGACTGACCAATTAGTTTGAGTCCAGAACGCATAATAGCTGTTAATCGCATTATCGACACATAAAGACGTTATCTACGTATCGAAATCATTATAGTAGTACAATTGAAAATAATAAAATGATCGAAACAAAATTTCTTAAGTCTAGAAAAATATTGTTGGTGTTCTATTTATTACTGCGGGCCTATATTGTTAACGATTACGATAACCTTAGACAGTCAGTATACTTCTATAGTTCATGTACATAGTGCAGTGTAGAGTACCTTGTCTCTGAGTAATTTTTATATCTGTGACTAGTGTGACTGTGTAATTATGGAAATCCTTAAATCCACTCAAGGAGTTAACCAACTCTAATAGTTATCATTCAAATTTTATATATTTTTATTATTATTAATTATTATTTTAGACAGCTGTATTCAACAATTAGGTATAACTTTGGGGATTTTTTTTCCGGGGGTTTTTTTTCCTGTGGATTTTTTTTCCGGGGAATTTTTATCCGGGGGTTTTTATTCCGGGGATTTTTTTTCCTAGATTCCTTAAAAATATAATACAAAACAATTAGATACATAAAGTCAGTCAAATAATAAATAATATGAAATAATTTGTATTATATTAAATATTATTTTATTGCAATTTAAAATGTTAGTGGCTCAATTACCGTTTACCTTTGGAAAAAAAGGTGAACTGTGGCCCAATTCCCAGGCGCCCATAAATTGGTTAAATACTCATTAGTTTTTCTAAAACGTTTTCAAAAATTTTATCATTGAATTCAAATTTAACACTACCTATCGTCCATTCATCACTGTGATCTGCTGTAACCTACCGTACAGAATAGCCTCACTAACTTGCCACCTTTTTATTTTGCATTCTGATTATATTATTATTGTGTAATAAGTGATATAACAATTAATATTAACTAAAATAGAGGGTGGCATGCCCCCTCACCCTTGCTACTATATCTATCATTAATTAGGTTAACATTTGACCATCTAAATTAACAAAATGTATTTTGGGTATCTTTAGTACCTACTTATTAACAATCAAATCGTATACAATGTATTATTACATGATAAAACATGGCCCATGATGGGGCAAGTACCTACAATCATTACCTATTTCATATATTTATCAAAATTAAATTATCTGGAATAAGCATTAAAGCATGTAATAACTTATAGGTAGGTAATCAATTGTATAGGTATATACATAGGTACTACCTATTAAGTAGTATACTAGTATAGGCACTTAATATTTTATCTTTATAGGAACTTCTTATTTACACTGAAATACAGAATATTATTTAGTATTTATCACGTATTGTTCAATGGGTATGCCGCGGCCGTTCAGATTATTTTTCAAATAATATCATATACCTACCTAGTTTAGATAATATATAGTCTATACCATGTATTATATAAATATAAATGTACACCTATAAAAGCAACGAATCCATTAGCCTCAGTAGTCAGACTCAGTATCCACCTGTCTGTGAAGTAAGACAGTCGTAGACTATACACGTACCTAGTTATCCTAATAAAATGGCGACCGACGAACAATTTAGTGACGTACGATCATGTTTGTTAAAATTAATAGGATTACAAATTTACCTTTGTAATAAAAATATATCCTTAACATTTTAAAATAATGTCAGCGCACTATTTGATTGCACTATGTGACCCATACGCGATAAAATATTCCAAATTTGGGTTCACTAAAACCAACTTTAAATTTTTATAATAATATTAGAGTGGATCATCGACTTATTTATCATCAAGTTTTAATTAAACATATTTTTGTGTTTATACGTTTGTTAAAGGTTTTATTTTTACGATATACCAATTTTTCTGCGATAGGTATATAACCATTTTATATTTGTAATATTTTACATAGGTATCTATCTACTTACTCATGTTAACCATTAAAATTTAAATATTGTTACAAGGCAAATAACCCTGATAATGTTCTTAACTTTGAGTTTGATAATAATATGTCAATTCAATAGCCATGGTGTCAACACAGTACTTATTACAAAATCTAATAACATAAGAATTGGTGTGCTGATTTCTGGAGTCCTCTAATACTACATAATATTAAATTACCTATACGATAATTTTATGTTTGGAAACAGTTTATATCATTTGAATCTATTTCGGAATTATGGAAAAATCAGCCAACATACTTATTAGTCCAGATGTTATTTATAATGGGTGGAGCAGTAACACTTATACACGGTAAGATACAAAAATTATTTAAGTATTATTTAGTAGCATCACAACATTTAATTGATAGACAATAAATACCAGTCTGTCACTGGCAGGTTGTAATTAATTTAACTCAGAAAATGACTATTGCAAATTTATAACGTAGGTAGTATAATATAGTATAAATCATAATAAATATCGAAACACAATATGAATTTATTAAATAAAATTATCTGTGAAAACTAAAATATTCATCGAGTCATAACTATTATAGCACTTGCTAATGGAGGAAGACGTCCTCTACTTTGGTTATGCATTATTTGTCATGGTTTGGTTGTTGAAAGTTTATGTTATGTCATGCCTGAAATAGACAATTTTTGGCATAGTACTGCACCAGTTATGTTTTTCCGACATCGACTTCCGTTGTACGTCATAATCTTATGTAAGTATTATATTTCTAAGTTAGTACAGTTTATGTATCAGACGTTTTCTTAATTTTACAGATTCAGTTTTTTATTACATTGCAATTGAAGTGGCATACAGGACAAACATAACCAAAGTAGGTTTTATGGTTACTGTAGGATTGAATGTATTTTTGATTGATTTACCATATGATATAATGGGTATAAAATTTGTTCATTGGACTTGGCATGATACAGATCCAAACATAGAAGATCGAATGTATTGGGTACCATGGACTTCTTATTATTTTCACATGGTGTTTTCAGCAAGTTTTGTTTTTTGGTTTTTCATAAAAGGTGTAAGTCTTGACCAAACATATACATCCAGAACAGAGATTTCAACTTCTCTAAAAACAATATTCTTTAGTACACCCTGCGGAATATTATGCTTTTCTGTACTTTATCATCCGTTACATGACCTGTATAATGTTCCAACACAAACAATAACAATGTTTTTAATAGCATTATACATCATGTTGTCTATTTTGAAACGCAAACCTAGAAAAATGTTTGATCGTCCATCCCCTATGATTTTGTACCTTACTGTGTACTATGCTACATTTTTGTGTTTCGCAATATGGGGAAAACCAGAAAATGAAATTTCAATTGGACCTCACGAAGAAATTGGTCCATGCAATATTACAGTATCATCTTTTGGAACGGTAAGTATTTATTAAGGTTTGGAACTACAGTAAATATGCCAGAAATGTTTGAATTAAAAGTACCAACAATCAGAATAAAATATTATCTTGTCATACTCTTTATTATGGTACTATTCTTGCTATACAGTAAATCAATTTTTTTGTTGATATACAGTTTATTTATAAAAATTAAAACATTTGACACCTTTTAAAAACCAATTTAAGTTACTAGTATATCACGTTAAATAATTTAGATGATGTATACCTCAAATAACTTTGTAAAAACTCAAAATTTGAGTTAAGGAATGTGTTGAACCATTGATTTAAAAATAATTTGCTTTTACTTTATCCACCTATATTACCTACCATTAGTTGCTTTTATAGAATGCTGAATTATGTGACTAATTAATAGTTTTACGATTAAAATATAAAAATCCTACATGGTGCTCTTACCTAAAATGTTAATAGTAGATAAATCTAACCTAGCAAGATGGAAATAATGGAAAACATTGTTTTTAGTTGTTTTAGTTTTTAGTTTTGTTAGATAGGGTTCCAAGTAATGTTGAAATATTTTAATTTTTCACATTTGTTTTAATTATATTTTAGGAATTGAAAAAACGTAAATATTTATGTATTGAAGACTATAATGAAGATTTTGATTTCCATTGTGTGATTGATGTCCCAGCTCAACATAGCCAAGTGTATGCAATATGTGGAACACCTTTTAAGAATCGGATTGAATACATCGTTTTAATGATCACAATCATTATGGTAGCATTTACACACTTCAATAAATCATTTAAAATAATAAGACCAACAAAAAAATCTCATTGATAAATATCAAAAGTTTATTATTAGGCTAGAGAAATATGAAAATAATTATAATAGTATGAATTAAATTGTTTACATATAAAGTGTTCATTAAATATTTTAAATCTGATCTATACACCTCATATTTATCTGGTTTAGGTAGTTTATTCTTGAAATCGTTCTATTTCATAATAAATTTGTATTATTTAAAATAATTTTTGTAAATATGGCCAGTTTTGTAAGTAATGACATTTTGCGGTAATTGAGGTTTTAAAAACTAAGATGATTTACATATAAGGTGATTTATAAATAAAATATAAACTTATGTTATATAAAATAATAAGTAGTTAAAAGAAGAAGTCTGAATAAATCAAACCACCAGTTTGTTGCTGGTAGACTTCGATTGTGTCTCCTTCCTCCATCTCAAGTGAAGACGGAGTATCAGCTTCGCTAATTGCTTGTCCATCAAATCGAAACCTCACTGTAGCCATAGCTAAACCCTAAAATATAATAATTATGAATGAATTAAAAAGTATTGAAGTTATAATCATTAAACCAGCACAGCCTTAGTAAACCTATAGTAACTCTTATTCAAAATAAGAACAGACCAGGCAGTAGATAACAACTCTCCACTAAGGCTGCCTCCTCATATCAGTCTCACCTGTAAGAACCACCTGTTGCTACAGCCATGGAGCACAATCATTACAGACTAATTAACAAATTACGGCAAAAGCTAAGTTGTGATGGGTAAAGGCGGTCTATTTTTAACTCAGAATAGAGTATAGTCATACAGATAACTAAAAATATTAATATAGCAAGTAACTTTAAGCATGTTCGATAATAATGTAACCATTATAAAGGTTGCCTAACAATTTAAATTCTAGGAAGAAAACTTTTATAACTGCAATTATAGGTAGACTATTTACCTATTCCATCCCAAATGTATGAGTATGTTATAAAATATAGTTGAAACTGAAAAATATGACCTAAGACGTTTAAATATACATTGTATAGATCTCCTCAGTGATGACAACATTAAGGTTTTCACTTTTTAGGTTATATGATAATTATACTTAATTATTCATGAGTCAATAAGAGATAACATAGAAGCATTATGATTCTAAAAAAAAAACACAAAGTATTAAATTGTTTTACAAATATTATTCCAACCTGGCTAACTTAACTTGTACAAAATGGACAAAATAAATCTACAGAATAAGGTTTAAATTTTAATGGAAAGTAACCAAAAATATAATAACCATATTTATTTACCTCCACAATGTAAGACAAGGACACAAAAGCAGTGAGTGCTAAATATCTAAATCATACAAGCCATATACAAATATTATGAACTAATTTAATATACATAATATTGAATAAAATTATTATTTGGGTGGATTTACTTAATTTTGTAATAAATTAATTTATTTACATCGAGTTATATTTAGTTATCTTTTAACTTGTAAAACAACACTAGAGCAAAGTATTGGGAATTACATGATTATCATTCCTATCTTATTAATGTGATGGTAAAAAACTAGAGGTATGTCGATAGTTCGAACCAAAATTTGGATGTTTGGTTCAAGTTAGAAAGTCAAAACTGGACTAAAAAAAATCTAACTGAACCAAACTCAAATTTTATAACTAAACAATTCTATAAAAATATTGTAACATCAAATGTTGCAAATAAGAAATACTTCAGGATTTTATGCTGATTCTAGATGCATGATTGTCTTTTTTAATTGAAATTACAGAAATATAACTAAAATATTGTGGTCTGAACAGCGATAATTTCTTATGTTATTGAATTATGTATACTCATCTCTAGACTAATGTATGTAACATGGTAAAATTATTTTGGCTTTGTAAAATTGTAAAAAATCGATAAGGTACAGGTTTGACATAAGGTTATAAAGTAATATGGTAACATATATGGTTTGAGACCTTGGTTTAACCTACCTCTACAAAATATTTGTCAATATTAACTTTAGGTACAATACTCTATTCAGTTTAAGTTGACTCACTTTCGCGCATGCGTACTGAGTAGCTATAACTATCTGACCCCCTGGGTCAGTGAACGGTGTTCCGTGATTGGTCACTGCCTTCGTTAACCATCTGAGTCCACAGCCCCCATTGTGCGTACGGTGTGTAGTCATATATTCAACAGGTGGTAATGGACACTAGAGCTGCGAGATATGCGCGACAACGATCAGTTTTCGTCTGACGAGTAGGTCAACTTAAACTGAATAGAGTCACTCGGCAAACATATCATTTCAATCTAATCTACTCTCCTCTAAAATTGAAAGTCCAGAATCACTATCTCGTATTTCCTTTAAAGTCCCCTCCCGTCGTACTCGTCCATCTGTTCCATTTCATATACCATTCTCTTCCTCAAACTACTATTTTAACTTACCGATTATCCGTCTTATGCATATTGCCAAAACTGACCCTTCATTCACCCTCTGAATCTGAGCCTCGTTTCCACAAAGCTCATTACTATTACTTATTATATTATATTCATGTATTTAAAGGGTTCGTCCCGTAATGTAAAATAAAATAATCTCAAATGATTTGGAAGTATCAAAAATGTAATTGGTATAATTAATATAGCTAAATAACTTATGTTTACCATTGAATACATTTAGTTTTTGCTAAATAGTAAGCCTTGATTATATGGGGCAACATTTACTTGCTACTCTCTGCAGCCAATGTCACTTAACGTAATACACATACTTGCACACAAAATTGATAGAAATATTTACTCTATGGCAAGTGAAATTGTTTTTGAGAAATCAAGGCCAAGGCCAATAAACAGTAGTAGTCGTTATGACTGAGCGAGTTCAGTATATCAAATATTATCACTAATCAGTTTGAACACCCATGACTCTAGTTTGCTGACAATCAGTAAGTAAATTTGAACAATGTATCAACGCCTAAGTAAATGCTTGACTCCATTTCTAAACAATTTTTGATTAAAAATATCACATGATCATTTCAATGCCCTAGTTAATAACTGCAACAACTCGAAATGATGTAACCGTATTTTATTGCGTTATTGAACTGAAAACGTTAGATGGTGTACATAACTCGAATTGTTGCAATTTTGAACTGGGGCGATGATTTAGTCTAAAACTCAATAACAGGAATTATAATGGTTACAATAAAATAAAATATTTAGAAATAGTTTATACTTACAGTTCTCTCACAATAGGCATTCATCAATTTTTTGAGTGGAGTATGTTTTTTAATTTTGAATTGTACCACAGCATTGTCTTGTCCCAGTACTTTTAGATTGATATGTTCAGGAGCATCCTATAATACATTACGTTGCTCTTAGAATTGATTAGTCGGTATAAAATATGAAAACATTTAAATTTGTACCAAATAAATTCAAATTCACCATCTTATGTTCTGATTGTGAATGGACTCTAGGAACGTTTAACAATATAAACCTAATATCAAGGTTATGGATAATTAACAAAATCTGTTGGTCGTCAGAAGTGAGACGACTTATCGTGCCAAATATAATCAATGTTAACGATAATAGTTGTATCAACAGTATTTAGATGGGTCAATGATGGTGGTACATTTCGGGTTCGAGGTTAATGGATATTATAATTAATAGTATTAATAGTATTAATAGTGCGACGGTATATTTTTGGAATCGTCACAACGAGCTTCAATTCAGCACCAAATGATGCCATGGGTTGCATACTCACTACCTACCACTGATGCCGTTTCGAAAATCTTGATTGTTTAACGAGAAGGGGATAGGAATATTAGGCGAAGAGAACGATTGCGAGCAGCGATGCAAAAACGACTTGTTCGGGCTTGTAGCACACATCGGGTAGCACAAAATTGTTTGACGAAAAATGAAGAGAAAATTGCGCGGGCACAACGCCGATCGGGGTGCGAGCACGAGGTGACTAGACGCCCCGCTGGACCACACGTCAAAACGGGCGAGCAACAGACGGGACCATTTTCGGGTGTTGGACACCATCAAACACGCCGGAACTCGTGTTATAGTTTTTAGCGCGCTTTACGCGAACTCGTGTGAATACTTACTCCTTTATCCACGGCCATTGCTAATTCTTGCTAAGTATGGATGATCAAATTAATAAACTGAATAACTAAGGCGACGCCTGTGAGAATGAGAAATATGACGACGGTGGCCGTGAATTGAATTTGTTTAAGAAAAACAGTAAACAAAATTTCGTACGAATGTGTATTGTAGCCGGCAAGAATATCGTACAATACTACAGTGTCACTCACACACCAGACCAGACGCCGATAGACACAGGCAAACGGACAGGTAGTGCAGACAACAATGAAGTATAAACAAATGGAAGCGAAATGCGTTCTACTGAATGCGGCGGTTAACCGTGGTTGGATTGTTGCTCACCGATGAGTCCGTTGTTAAGTTGGTATCACCGTCAACGCGGCGTCGATCCTCTTTACCGGGACGTAACCTATAATACAGAGCCTATAAAGAAAGATTTGGTTGTTAGAAAGAGATCATGTACATATTAATATATATGTATATAAAAGAGATAGATGTAGTTTAAAAAAAATCATATATCATGGAATATTAAGCAAATTTTGAGCATGGACGGTGATCAATGGTAAAATAATTGTAGTACGGCCAGCGAAAAGTAAGCCGTGATACCAATGCTCCGGGTGGCCGAATTTCATCAGGGCTTTCTCAGTTACATCTTACATGGGATTACGCTTAAATACACCACTAGAAACGTTAGGTCCTGGCTCATTTTTCACTGGCCGTACTATAATAATTATTGTTCTATATCTCCTCTATGCTTTTTCTCTCTTTTTACTAACTGTCCACTTCTTTATATAGGTCTTAAGCCTTAAGGTATGGCTTTACCATGCTGTATGTTTAAAAATTAATTTTTCATTATGACTATATTATAAAATAAATATATAATATATATGCATAAGGATAAGATATTTAGATAGTAAGAAACCTCTGATTAAGATAATTACACAAAGCATTACTTTTAGTTTTTAAAAAAAATTAATATGGGTCTTGAAAATAGTTAATACCATAGACCTACTGTTCTGTGCCTATACCTAAAAACTAATGGAGCCAGGAGAGAAACGAATAGGGTATACCTCATTTATGTTTGGGACGTTACAATGTTTTCTCACTATAAATCGTCCCACTGAATTATAAATGTTGGGCAGAGTGATGTGGTAGCTGGTAGGCGCTGCCCATTAACTTTAAGACTTTTACATCAAGTGATAAACATTTTTCACTTAATCTAAAGTGCCTGGACATCCATATTTTATTATATTAAATAATTTGTAAAGAAAGTTTAACATTTCATATTATTAAAGACTTATAAAGTTTAATATTAAAATATTGAAAAATGGAGTTTAATGCAGCCTATAAAACATGGTAATCTGTCAAAGTCCTTATTAAAAAAGTCTGAACTCATTTTTTGAAAGTTAGACAAAGTCAAAAAATGTATATTAATAATTATTAATTAACAATATAATATATTATATAGGTAAGGCATATATTTAATTGATATTCATTATAAAAAAATAAATAATTTTCTTATACAATACCTATTAATATATTATACTTGATTACTATTCCTTATACTTGTATTTAAAATAATGGTCAATGTAAAAGTTCAAAAAAATAAACATTCTGGCTTTTTTTTAATTGCATAGGTCATTGTTTAAGAAATGTAACTTATTTTAAATTATTATTATTATTGTAGAGTGATCAATGTTTATACTGATTATTTTTTGTAGAATATTACCCTTTATCAGCTAAAAAATATTATATGACTTGGTTGATTCTATGGAACAGGATCTTCACACTACATCCATGATTCCAAGTAAGCTATTCAGCTATTCTGTTTTCATCATGATATTATGATCCTATGATTGGAAAATTCCAAATTTGGATAGTCAGTGTAAGGCGCAACCCGTCACTTGCTTACCTACATTATCGTATTGTCATGTAATTATTATTACTAAATGCTGTACATAAATTATGAGCCTATCAAATGATATAACCATAAAAAAAGTTCTGACCATGTTATTTCAATTATGTGTTTTCATATAGTCTGTGACTATCATCCAGTCTTGTAAAGTATTCAAATACAATTTTAAGTACTTTTTGAAAAAATTATTCAAATACATACTCTGAATAATTTGTTTTGTATTTTTTTTATTTATTATAAAAATACTTTTTTTATAATTCAGAAAATAATTATATTTTGAACAGAACAAATTTTTCTCTTAAAATAATACTATTTTCTTATAAAAAGTATGCATACATTTGACTTGATTAATATATATTTTTTTTTTATTTATTAATTGTTTATGGCATCAACTACGAGGTTATTAGCCAGGGGTTTTTGGGACTGTTGGGTTTTGGAACACGTGTGTGTTTGTTTGGCAGAATTTCTAGTGGGCACCCGTAGGTTTCTGCCATGCCCGGTTGGGGGATGGCGGCACTTGTTCTCAGGTCACCGCGACTTGTCCGAAGAAAAATGCCGCCTAATGGCCGAGTATCAAATCGCGACTGGCTGCGTCAGACCACTCGGTCACCTCGTCCCTCAGATTAATATTTGTAGGGGATTATTTAATAAAAACCTTAAAAGAATGTAAGTGTTAACTTATAATAACCTAAAATGTCTAAATTATTAATAAAATAACACATTAAATATAGTTAAAACTTTAAAAGTAGATAAATATTAAATTATACTAACTACTACAAGTAGCTACCAATATTTATAATCCTCAACAATATTTTATGTTGCATATCCAGAGTAGAGTATAGAAATAAGACCATAAAGATATTGAAAAAATGTAAGTTTCTAAAGCCTACTTTAAGTTTAATTGACAAGTAGTCAAAGATTTTACCTTAACAAGAACCACAAGTTATAACACTTTTATCAAAAATAAAAAAAAATAAAAACTGTTCTCCAAACCAAACAATTTTTAAAAACCAAAACCATTAAAATATATGTTGGTTAATTGCCTCACAGTTTGTTTGATATAATTTAAAAATAGCAATACATTATACCAAAAATGAATATCTTTATAGGAACACTAAAATATTTTACTTTATTGACATTGTAGTTTGTAATTGTTGAATATATTGTAATATTTTTGGTTAAGTTTTACATATTTTGTAGATGTAGATGCTTTTTTATGTCATTACATTTTTATTCCACCTCTTAATATTTTTACATCATCAACAGGTCGATCATTTTTATCCGTTTCTACCATGCCCATTCTTTTGACAACATTCATACCGGAATGAACACGGCCTAGTGAAAAATTCAAAAAAAAAAAAAAAAGTAATGTTAATTGATTTAAGTTCAAGTTTTTAATATCTAAAATCTGTTAGTAAATATACCAAATACTATTTGATTCTTAAGTTTTTTTTAAATAAAATAAATTGTACAACAATTTTGTATTTATTTTTGAGAAAATAACTTCAGCATTGTGCAGATATTACATTTTTACATACCCCTTTAACTTTATATGAGCATAAATTTAAAAAAAATGTCCGTATAGAGTTGTGGGTGATTTATTAATGGGCGTTGTTCAAAACCCCACACTTACAACTCATACCCACACATTTTACACCGTTCAATACCGCACACATTTGATTGACAATTAAAAAATTAAACATTCATTGACATTAAATAAATTGTCGTAAAAATTATTTAATATATATATAAGATTTTATAATTTTAATATTAACTAAAAAATTTTTTATTTATAATTAATTCAATATAATACCTATAATAAGAAAAAATAAATAGTTAAATGGAAAAAAATAATGTTTAGATTGAAATAAACCTGTAAATAATCTCGAAAGTTTTATAAAATGTTATTCATTACATTAATTTTTATTATTTTGTAACTTTGATTAAATATGATTAATATGTAGTGAGGTTTCAAAGGATTATGTGATTTTAGATAAATGTGTGTGTTATTAATAACAGTGTGTGCAGTATTTAACAGTATAATTTTGGAAAAACTGAGCAGTTTTGAACAACAGCTTTTTTTTGAAAGTGTGAGGTAATGAAGGCCACCACCATTATTAATCAGTTCCAAAGGTGAAATGAGTATTAGGTATGGTATACAAAAATCAGTTAATGCAGATAATCTAGTTTGGATAAAATATAAAATCAATTTTTTTTTTTGTATTATGTTAGGAATTTTAAAATATGTTCTAAAACCATCAGATGAGTATTAAATTAAATTTTAGATTTTGTAGGAGCATTAAACATTTTTTTTTTTGGATTTAGTATACCAAAACTAACAAGAAATGCTTTGGTTTTTAACTTCTAGGGTGTTTTCTGATACCAAATTAGATCTGATTGTACTTTTAAGGAATTTAAGTTGAAAATGCCTTTAGTTTTTCCAAATAATCAAGAAAAACAAAAAAAAACTTTTAATTTTACCCAAAACCAGTTATTAAAAATACATTTTATTTTTTTGTTTAGCTCAAAAACGAACAACCGTTGAAATTTTACTGAACTTTCATACTAATATTTTCTATACATGATATAATTTTTAAAATATTAATTAATTTAAGTTAAAATGTTGAAGTAAAAGAACTGCTTAATGTTATTATAATTATAATTATTATATTTGATTAGTGTGCAGCACTATAGCCATATAAGAACTATTTGGTTATATTTTTTTTTTTTGCAGTTCCTAATGAATTTTATATGATTCTCCAATAGTATTAGCATTGATTATAGAATAGACTATAATAATCTATTCTATAATCATTGGTATCAGTTTATGTATTTACCAAATATTGTGTGTTTTTTATCAAGCCACTGAGTTGGAGCTAATGTAATGAAAAATTGAGAACCATTTGTATTAGGTCCGGAGTTAGCCATAGACACAATACCTGCTCCTAAAATAATATAATAATACATTAAATATCAGTAGAATTGTAGAATTCAAAATGTAAAATGGACAACTGTGGCGTATGGGTGGAGGATTATGGGAATATATTCCTCCAAGTCTTTTTTTTTTTGATATAACTAGTTCAATTCTTATGAGCAGTTGGCTATATAATATTTTAAAATAAAAATTAATGTAAAATGGTTAACTTTTACTACAGTTAAAAAATAAAACTGACATAAACTTACAACTTACGATTTCTGATATCATTTTTATTCATGAACCACTTAACATTTATACCTTATATACTGATATATAAATCATAAGATGCTCAAAAAAAAAAACCTAAATATTTAAAATTAAACATTTTTATTCTGATTTAAAAATACATAAATGTATAAGTCATAAAACGAGGTAGATGCAAAAAACAATTAAAGTACATAGAAATCCCAGCCAAATTATTAATAATCATGAATTTTAACTTAATAAGAACATTTGAATTGAATGACGATGTTGTCAGTCATTGGAAGATAAAACTGAATCCCGTAGACATAATTGAAATTTAGCAAAAAAAAAAGATGGACTTTATATCATAAATAACACATTTAAATTAATTTAGTGTCCATTATTGTCTTTGAAAACCATTATTAAACCATTTACCTAATTTTGTTTATAATAAATTAATATAATGTTATAATTAATGAAATTTAACGAACAACCCCCTTGAGGAATAGCCTATTAATATTACAATTATAAAAACTTATATCCCATCCCAGAATCAATTCATAATGATGCCATACACCACTGTTGGACAATATATATTTTAAATATAAAACTTATAATTTAACCTGTATGTCTAAGATCATCATGAATTTCATCGTCGAAATGAGTACCATAAATTGATGTACCGCCTCTGCCAGTGCCGGTAGGATCACCACCTAAAATTAACAAGTTAGATCATTATTTTATTTTCACTTGGTTTAAACTATAATACGAGAAATAATCTTGGCAGAAATTATTATTTACCATACAATCACTAAGATAGACACAAATAACTAATAATACATTATGACTATATTCTATATGTCACACCCAATTAACTGAAATGTCTTTTAATATTGAACAAAGTATAGTGAGTTATTATATTGAGTTAGCATATTTATCTCTACATTACAAATATTTCACTAACAGTTTAAAAAAAACTATATCAAATAGGTAACAAGCAGATGGTATTATAATAAATAATTTGTAATTATGTATAATTTATTTAATATTTTAATGTATCAATGAAGAATGTACATTTTATTACCTATGTTATTATATAAAATATTTAGGTACATTTAATTATATTTTAATGCACAGAGACCACATCAAAATTCTAAACTTTAAATATATCACAGTTTCAATTTACTTCAGTATCGCTGAATACTAATAGCTCACACTCTCACAGTTTGCACATACAAAAACAATACAAGTAACATACAAGTTGTCAATAATGTTGGAAAATTTCTGAAAAAATCATTATTGTCATTGAAACATTGTAGCATTAAAAAGATTGTGGTTAAGTAATTTCAATAAAAATAATAATATTTTTTTATTTTAACAAATAAAGAATTATAAAATAATGTAAATAAAAATGGACGTAATTTTAAACCTATATTATTCTTTACTTATAGCATTCATTTAACTTACTTAAATGTAAAAAAAAAAATAGAAAATTATAAGTATTTTACTATTTAAACTTTTAATTAAAATTAAACCCTTACCTTGAATCATAAAATTACGAATAATTCTATGACATTTTGTATTATTATAATAACCACGTCTACAAAGTTCTGCAAAATTACGGCAAGTCTCTGGAGCATGATCCCAGTATAGTTCAATTGTTATTTGACCCATTCTAAAGTTAACAGACTAGATAAGTAAAAATGCATAAATGTTTATGTTGGTAGATTCATACGAAGTTTCAAGAATTCCAAATTGTGGTTTCCATGATTTGTCTGGGATACCACCAGCCCCATGAATCATAACTGAATCTTTCATTTTATTATTTTATTAAACTTTATCACTAAATGATTTATTCAAATTTGATTTATTCAGTAATAATCTTCTTTCATCGGTATTCAGTATGATTCAAATTCTATTTTCCAGTTTCTGTAATGATACATTAAAATTATTAAATAGAAGCATTATAAATAAAGATAAAGCATAACACTAAGATACATGCCCACAACTTTAAGTTAAGAAAAAATATGAGTAATAACTAATAATGATAGAAATAATTATTATTTATAAGGTACATAACAATAAACAACAAGCTATAATAATATCGTTTGCATTTAAAACTATTTCTCCGACGGTTAAAAAGGTAATTAAAAGATAAAATTATACACCTACCTACAACGTCTTTTGAATGCCTATAAATCGTAGACTATAACAAATTAACAAACAACAATTAATGATTTCCAACTTTCTATTTAAATGTTTAGTGAACGCCGAACAGATTGATATCATAGGTGATTGTTTTTCGACTTTTTTGTACGGCTAGTGATAAACTGATAAGAAACCTTGTATGCGCGGTTGCATTTAAAATAACGCCATCAAATTCAACCGTAGCCTATAGCAGCGTTTCCCAAACCATGGATCACGAAATTTTTTTGATGGGTCGCGATTTGAGGTTACAATTACTGTTATTTTTAGTCAGTTGATACCTCTATATTGTATAATAATAATGTGAAGTCCAACAAATATAATTGTAGGATATTGTATGACATATTTTTTGTAATCTTTATATTATTTTTTTACGATTATAGAATATATTTTGTTATCTTATCGGTGAGAATGATAAATTTGATTATACTAAAAATAGTATTAATTTATGCCATACTTGTTTTTTATTATAGGGGGCGCGTACCTAATAAAGATTAAATTTATGGGTCGCTATTGCAAAACGTTTGGGAAACACTGGGCCCTATAGTATTGGGCATCGCACGATGCCTATCCAGATTCGACGTGGAGCGTGCATTGACGAAACTTGGTTTTAACTTTTTATGGTTTCCAACCCACAGCCGAAATTCGGAAATTGGAGCATGTTGAATTTGTGGGCATCGCCCATTTACGCCAAAAAAAATAATTCATGTTGGCTACAATCTATTTGCGCCAAAATAAAAAAAGGTATGTTTTTTCAGACAGCCCATTCGCGCCAAATTTACCTGCTTAAGCATTTTAAATTAACGACTTGGTTAATTCTTATATTTTAAAGACGTCATGTCTGTACCTACCTAAGGTATAGTTAAGTTATTTTTATGAGTCTATAGATTTTAAAGCTTTGTATATTATTGCGTCGAAAAATAAACAAAGAAGTTTTATATCAGTTTTGTTAGGTATGCTGTAGTGTTGTACGATGTAGGTAGGTACTCCGTTAGTCCGTTATCGTATCGTTATTCGTCAAAAGAACAATCGCAGTCTGATTTCATCACACATTCGTTCCTTACACTAAATAATATTCTCGAATTTATTAATGATAATTATTTGAATTATAAATTATAAGGATGGAGTTCACGACAAGAACTCAAGGGAATAAAATGGTTATTGAAAATGCCCATAAGTATATTTTGGAATACACTAGAACACATCTTCTAAAAATGTTGAACGGTGCCATTGTCCAAATAAAATATGTTCAGCCAAAATATTAACTCAGGATCGAAAAATTATTAAAAAGCATTGTAAGTTGCAAACACTAATTTTTATTTTAATAAAATGTGTTAAATATAATATAAATTTAACTACGTAATATATAAAACAAATTAACTGTTTTCGCAATATTAAATTTTTTTTTTATTTCGTATAACTTAGATAATATTTAGTAATAATTTATAATAATATAAAGTATTATGTGAAAATTCAGCCCATATAAGAGGTGGAAAAGTAGATTCATGTGAAATATAATTATCAACTAAGTAATCCAAGTATAAATCTTTTTTTTCATCAACTGGTTTGATTCCCATCAGATCAGAAGCAAAGCAATCACCTATTTCACATCTGGGGTGTTAAAAGTGGCAATCCAAACATGCACTTTAAAAATCTACCAATCTAGAATTATCATTTCTAAAAAAAGTGGACAATTTAAGATCTTGAATTTTACGCCACCATGATTCGCCCTAAGTGAAATCGATATCCTCTTAAATTTATCTCTGACTAAATTGTATAAACATCTGTCTGTATAGCACTTTCAAAATCTGCGTTAATGGTTTGCGGTGTAAACTTTAACTAGAGCGTATCGCATATTGTACATACAAATTTTAACGCATGTACATACGTGTTTTCTGCTTTGTCTAGAGTAAAAAAATACTAGTGGAATAAAACTGTTTGGTTCTTTTAATCCATGAAAAGCAAAAAATTGTGTAAATTGTCAGACTATACTACAAGTCAGCCAATGAGTACTCTTGATATTCAGTAATTTAATCTGTTTCAATAAATAAATGATTTCCTAGAACTCTCCTTACATTTAAAAATCCCAAACAGTTTAGTTCTGTGCATTTAGTTTTTTTACTTCACTGTATTCTTTCAAACTATAAACTCCAAATCATTGAGATTGCTGAATGATGATTTTAAAATTATTGTTGGACTTGTTATAGTTTTCGACATATTTATTACACTATATTGCAGTAGTATAATATAATCACACAATTTTTTAACAAATACTGCACACTATTATAGAATAATATTGTTTGATAACATATTAATGCCGAGCCCAGAGAGAATATTATATTCACAATTAAAATATCCATTTTTTTTTATTACTTCTGTATATTTCAAAGCCTAATTAGTAATTTTAAATTTTTTTAATGTCTCGAAACTTCTAGAGTTTTATATTAAGTTATAGTTTAACCGTTAAGACTAAAAACAATATTGTGAGATGTCGGACAAAAAAATGGACTCGCGACAGTAGTGGATCTAAATGGCCTATACGCAGAGTTCCGTGTTCTGAATTGTATAGATTTAAACACTCCAAATAATATTATGTTTCGGAATCTGAAATAAAAAATTTATCGTGTCATCCAAAGAATTCAAAAACTCGAAAACAACATATTATATTATAATATCTATCATCTATGGCAAAAGCTGATCGTCGTCATTCTTCGGTGACGATTCACAATTCTAATAATTTCATTGAACAAAAGAGAAATGTGTAAGGCAACAATAAACATTTGCTCACATATTTCATTCTACTCAAGTAATTTTTATAAAAAAATCTCGATTTTTTCAGTTCGGGTTTAGATGAAGAAATATCTTTACTCGATATGGCGTCTGCACTCAAGATACGGCCTTGCAGCTATATATTACCCGAAGAATCGATGTATACGTAAGTTTGATTACCTATTCTTTTGGGGCTTACATATTTTACTTTTTAGTCTCAAAATTAAAATTTATTGTCACAGACAATTTGCTACCCGGGTGAAGTAGGGGCATATTTTTTGTTCCCGAGCGCGCAACACAAAAAAATAAGCTTATAACACAAACGACGACGACGACATATCCAGGTCGCAGAATAATAACATATTTATACAATTAAATAGATGTAAATAGTGTTGTACATGCTAGTCATACTACAGTAGTACAGTACACGGGAGTTCTTATGTCCCGCAAAATTCAACAATTTTTATTTTTAGTTTTTATAAATGTTAAGTAATATATGAATATTACTATGCCGTCTGCTTGTGGTCGAACCGCGAATTAAAATGACGTCGTCGTACATCAAACATCAAATAATTTTATAAAGCTGGGAAAGTCGCTCTGCTGATTATTGAATATCCATTGAAAATTAAATAAGGAAACTTTAAATTTTAAATATATTCGAATAGCTTAAAATATACCTAACCAATGCACTCAAAATTAATACATAAAATATTAATTATTAATTTCGTGCTCGACAGTATTCAGAGAAAAGATTTAACTTGGAATTTTACAAACTATAGTTGGTATAGTCGGTATACGGCAAATGTGATGCATTAAGCACTGAATACCTTTATGTTAAATCTAAAAAGTAGTAATCACAATTATTTACAATAAGATTTTTATTCAATAACTTATAAAAAAATATGCTTGTGCTTCGAATATTTAAACACCACCTTAATTAATTATTAAATTAAAAATTAAAATAATAGGTACTTTATATATTGTTGTAATT